AGTCAGGGCCCAGCTCTGCTACCTATGCGCACTCTTGGACAAGTCACCTGGCTCCTCCTCAGTCAAACAAAGGCAGCCATCTTTAGAGTCTGTCATTATTATTCTCTGTAATCCTCTGCTTACACTAGACTCAGTGCGTTTCCTAGTCCCCCGACTCTTGGCAAACAGAGCTCTATATCACCTTACAGAACATGCCATTCCCCATGAACAGCAGAGCTCCAGTCAGTGAGCCAGGTCCTTGGGTGAGGGGGGAGGTTGAGGGCTGGAAGCCATGGAGGGAACAACTGCTCCTCAGAGGTCAGCGCTCAGAGGGGAGGCCCTGCAGGACCCAGACACCAGGAATTCTATTTACATTTACAATAGGCCAGAATCACATAGAAATATTAATAGCTTTGGGCCACAGTTCTAAATTGTAGAACAAAAAAATGCCATTTGCTTGGAACAGAGCTTTGAGACTTTTCTGGAACTCTTCATTTGTTTGCACTCCTTTTATGGTAAAAACAAAACAAAAACCATTCTGGAATTCCTTTTCTTTTCTTTTTTTTTTTAGAGGTGAGAAGAAACAGAACAAAAAAACCTTTTCATATTTAATGTGAAAAAACATTTGAAAGGCCATGGACTTTCCTCATGAAGATTGTATATTCTTAAGAGGAAAAATTTCAGTACACACATATTTGTAGTGTGAGTCATCTCTCAGTATGTCCCATGGCTTCTCCTCTTAAATAATGAAGAACAGCCAGCATTAAACCTCGGGAGGTTACCAGCAGCTGTTGCAACTGGATCATTATTCCTGTTAGATCTTTGGGATGTAGTGTCTGCACTGCACTGCAGGCTACACTCTATCTTTAGATGACCCCAGCACCTGGAAGGGAAACTAGTCATGCGCCATCCCTCTACTTATGAGATTAAAGGTATTCTCTTTCTAATAGGAGCCTCAGAATAACCACATCCTTACAAGTGTTCCCAGAGGTGACTGTTTTAAATTCAAAAGGTACTTCAAATTTGCATTATTTTTCCCAGTACAAGGAACTTAGGATGAAATGTAGTGCAGCTTCCCACTGTGGCCTTGGATAATTCTGCCTGGCTGCAGGCCTTAGATGGGTTGAGTCCTGCCTTTATTTTCAGAAGAAACTGAACTTTGCCTCCGTAGCAGAGGTGTCACTGTCGTGGTGCCCTGGCTATAGGAGGGCTGTGATGTTGCTGGTGGCTGTGGCAGGCAGCTCTTGCCAGGAGCCTTGGTGATGGCAGGAGGAGTGACTCCCAGCCAGTGATGTTCTTGGGACATCTTGCTCAACCTCTATTTGCAGAGCCAGGCCTCTGCTGGGGGCTCTAATTTATAAGAAGCAGTCAAACATCCTTGGGAATATAAGGCTACGGGAAAAACATATTTCCAACTTCCTTCCCATGAGCTAAGTTAGTAGATGGAAGAAACAGTGAGTGGCTTGGGGCGGAGTGTAAGGGGGCTGGGCTGGGGGTGAAACCTCCAGTGGCAGGAACCACAGATGTTTGGCTTGCCTTCTAGGAGGGTGTGTCTCGTGCACTCAGGTCTGAGATGGGCAGGTTTGGGACAGAGTTGAATTTCTCAGGATTGTGGAAGAGTCAAAACTGAATTTCCCACCAAATGTCAAGGATCAATATTGGACAAGCCATGCAAGGGTTGGCTTGGGACTGCAGCTCAAGTAAATGCTTCACTTGACTGAGGGGCAGATCTTTAAAGTATCCTAACTTTGCTGGATGTACAACCAGCTCAGCTGTGGAGGTGCGAGAGGGTGGGAGAAACTATGTGGATTCTAGTCCAAAGTAGCTTCCATTATCTTTCTCTGTTTTTCTTGGCTATGTATGAAATAGCAGACACATTTTGTTTTAGGTTTTTGTTAACATTTGCACCCAGTGCCACTGTTGGACTAGTTTGGAGGGCAGTGTAAGACGTGTCACCTGGCAGGGACTAACTTCCACAGGTGATGCAGGCAGGTCCAGTGCTCGGCAGTGCTCAGACCCCCTTCCTCACCTCAGGAGTCCAGGCTGTGCTGTGTTGGTGGCTTCTGCACCTTGACATACACTTTGGTTAGAACAACTGCATGTGACTGGCCTCATGTCATGTCGGAGGACATCTATATAGTTGTATGGGAGGTTCCAGTGTTAAAAAGTCACAGAAGTCTGCTTCACGGGAAGCACCAAAGGCACAGGTTCCAAGCCCAGCCCAGCCATGTTATGAGAGGGTCAGTGTGTCTGAGAGAGCATGGGTGGGGGCAGTGGAGAACGGGGGGAATGAGGTCTGAGAGGCAGTGGGGAGGCCGGGTCCTGTAGGGCCTCAGGGGCCGTGAGGACTGAGTGAGAGGAGAACTGTTGGAGGAGGGCAGGGGAGGGTGTTTGTCTCCTTGGCAGATGTGTGAAGATTGAAGTTGGGGACAAAGATGGAAGCAAGAAAGCCAGATGGGAGGCTTTTGCAATGGTTCAAGCAAAAGATGATGGCGGCTTGAACCAGGGTCATAGAAGACGAGGGAGTGAGAAGTTGATCTCGGAGAGACAGCGGTGAGTGGTCTTGAAGCAGGATCCTATTTCCCTGCCTAGCAATTGGAGCTGCGTAGCCTGGATGAAAACCAGGAATCCTAGCTGCTAGTCCAGCAGGGGCTGGAGGCTAGAAGCAAAGTTCCCCTGGCTCTTGCCCCTGTTTGAAAGCAAGAATGAATCAAGGAGGCAAAAACAGGTACAAAGTTTATTATTAGAGACACAGCACAACATGTGGAGAACACATAGAGAAACAGTGTATTTAGACAGAAGCAAAACAGGAGTACACACCTGGAGGGAAAGGGTGTGGGCATCCTCCTGAATGAGGAGTGCAATAAAGAGGCGATTAAATCATTTATATGGGGCGGTTCTTCTGGGTCTTCCTTCTGCTCTGGCCAGTTATCTCGCTTCTTTCCCCACACCTGACCTGTCCTACTGCCCTGCCCGATATGTGTGCACATCTTTTTGCCAAGTTGGATTCCAGTGCAGAGGCTAACGGAGGTTTGACAGCACCTGTTATGGGATGATGTCGCCCCTTTTTGACCCCAAAGGAGCCTTCCTGCGCATGTGCAGTCAGGGAGGTTTCCTTGACTTCAGTAGTGATAGATGTGGTCGTTTTATCTCTTTACTCCCCCTCAGAGCTCAGCTCCTGTCACTAGCTCTGTCCTTGGTGTGTCCAGGGAAAACAAAGCTCCAATTTATTCTGCTTGACGAACTCCAGTGGCTCAGCCCAGGGGCCCATCTACCTCCTACCTCAAAGTGGTGGGAATGGGGAGATATTTTAAAGGTAGAGCAGACAGGATGTGCTGAGGGATTAGATGAAAGATGTGAGGGAAGTAGAGGAGGTGAGAAAACACCCAGGGTTTCGGTCTGATCAACTGGAGGCCTGGAGGGGTGAGGCGTGTTTGTGGCGGGGGGGGGGGGGGGGCGGCGGGGCATGAATTCGGTTTCAGACGTGCTGTCAGCTGAGACTCAGGAAGCTGTGGGTCCCGGCCTCAGCCTGGGCTCTGTTCCTACAGGTTCTTGGGCAGAAGCATCCTTACATAGTGCCATGAAAGGCCCTTCGCAGTGTTCACGCTCTGCAGCCTGAGTGGCAACACTGGAGCAGCCTGAAAATTTTTCCCAGTTTGAATTTTTTTTACTACTAACTCTAACTGGCACAGAGAAGCTGAGCAGTGAAGTAGAAGCTGCTCACGGAGGCACAGCAGCTGGGACGGGTGCTGGGTGTGCCGATGACCCCACCCCAGAGTGACGGGGGTGCTGCGCCGACCACTCTGCTCCCTCGAGCTGGAACCCACTGAGCGAGCCGTGCCTGCAGTGAGCCCCAGCCGTGCTGGTGGCCCCTGTGACTCGGGCTTCAGTCGAGGACTGGGTGGCAGCGTCCATGTGAGCGGCTGGGCCCTGGTACCCCGCTCTGGAGTTTTGAGTCCACTTTGCCCGCAGGCCCGGAGAGCAGCAGTGCCTGAGAACTTGCTCCCTAGTCCCTGCTGCAGCACCCTCCACACACACTGTGACAGCCGTTTTGGGAGCAGGAAAACCAGGGTGCTTGCCTCCGTGGGGGTGGGGGGTCCTTGGAGGTGAGGCTGGCACAGAAGGGCCCTTGCCCACTTGGCTTCCCCACTCCTCACCCCTGCTCTCCACTCCAGGTGGACTCCCCGAGAGCATGTCCTCAATCACTCACACGCACACCAATCTTCATGGAAGAGTCTGCTTCCAGGAAGACTGATCTAAGGTGTAAGAAAATACTTCATCACAATGTTTCCCACAGGGAGCGCTGAAGTGCCCTGGGAGCTGCAGAGAACCCCCAGGGGTGTTGTGGGATATTTTTAAATTTCAAGGAAAACAGCAATGATACACAACATCTGTCAGACACAGTGCAAACTACTCAGGTAGTTACAGTTTCCACATTAGATTGTACTGCCTTCCCTTAGATGATGGCTTACTTTTCTGTAGCTGGGTTTTCAGTGGTTACTGTGACAAAAAGCAAGTGCCCTGGGAAAGTCAGGTGGAAGAGGGAATGGAGGTAATGGTGTTAGATCTGATTCCAAGGCTGGAGAAGTTGTTTAGTGTCCACAGGTGCACACACCCCATCAGTAAGTAAATGTGATTAAGAATAAAATAAAAAGACTTTTTTTTTAGTGTCTGTGTATTATTTTTTCAAATGGATACTAAGTTATCAGGGTATCAAGTCTTTTAAAGTTGAACCCTTTAGCTATTTCTTTTGGTCAGGGGCTGCCGTGAGTCAGTAAGGTCCCTGTGAACCAAATAATTTTGGGGACCTCTACTTTGTAGTGACAATGACAGTTTCTATGTGTTTTGCATTAAAATGTGTCAAGTGTTCAAGAATCAAATAACAGTCCCTATTGCAGACTGTTTGAGATAAACTAATGCTCTTCCTTTAGACGTTTTTTATTCTTCTTGCATTGTTCATAAACTGTCACGTTGGCCTTTAAACATGAACAAACATGTTCTCTCTTGTTTTCTTCTTTCAGAGAGTGGGTTGATCGAGCCCCATCTCTTCATTTTCTGAGAGTATTAATTTGTCTGAGACTTCTAATGAGGGATCCACGTTATCAGGTTGGTTGCAAAAAATAAAAATATTTTTTACTTGTTTGAAGATGAAGAAAAACCTGGTGGGCTTTTCTTTGAAGCAGAGCATGGTAACTTTTTTTTTTCCTCTCTCACAACTCAGTAGTTTCCAAATTTGGGAAGTATCTCACCTGCTATTTAAAATGATAGGAGAGAAGTGATTTAATGGGGACAAAAACACCTGTAAATTTCTACTCTATTACACATGGGATGAAGTGGATTGAACTTCGGGTCTATGCTTGCATTATCTCCTGGCATTTTAAACGATAGTCAGTTTGGAGAGGTGTACACTTGGCCACACCTTCGAGCATGCTTATGCCAAGCAGCTCAGTAGGTCAAAGTCAGCAGCGACAAGTGGGGGCTTCCTCAGGGGGCTCCAGGGGCAGTGAGTGGGAAAGGCAGGATCTGCAGCTTTGGTAGCTGCTCCAGAGCCATGCTTGTCCCAGAGTCCAGCCTCAGACCCTGAGTTAGAGGTGAGCAAGGGGCCTCCCACTTGTCTCAGAGGAGGTGCCTGCAGGCAGGAATCTCACCTCCTCTCACTAGTTAGTTAAATGTGCGGTCGTAGTTTAGTGCCTCTTAAACTTTAAAGTGCAGAGGAATCACCTGGGGATCTTGTAAATGCGGATGTGGATTCTGTAGTTGTACCCTGAGACCCACGATTCTGCTGAGGCCACTGGTTCATGGCCCACATTTTGATTAGCAAGAACTTAGTGCTTTAGCAGTGAGGCTCTAAAGAAAGGCTTACCTAACACTTCACCTGGATCATGAAAGTTGTTCCGTCTAGTCTCAGCTGCTAAGATAGCTGCTTTTATAAAGCAGAAGTTCCTAAACTTTCTGTGCATCAGGAACACTTGGAAGACTTAAAGATTGCTGGCACCTACCCCCACAGTTTCTGATTCAGTAAGTTTGGGGAGGGCCTGGAAATCTGCATTTCTAACAACTTTTCCCAGGTGATGCTGATGCTGCTGGTCAGGGGACCACAGTTTGAGAACACAGGCAGAACCACTGCCCAACCAATTTGGAGAAGCCTCCAAATTGCTTATGAACCATTACTGTTTCTTCTTGCCAGTGTTAAATATCTAAAGAGCATTCTTACTATCCTTATTATTCATACATGCTTCAGTCATTTTCACAGATTGTTTTTTTTCCTAAGAAGTATCTCCTTTTATGCCCTGTCCTGATAAGCTACGGGGATGCTCAGACCACTCTGAAGCTCTTTTATTTTGGATTCAGTTTTATTGATGAATTATTATTTGAGTCATAATAATAATAATTTCATTACCCCAATAACCATCTTTTCCAAACTTGGCATTTAAAAAAAAAAAAAAGCGTTCTGGTACTAGCCAGCTACAGAGCCTGCTCTGATTTGAGTCTCCTGGGATTCATGATGGCTTCAATCTTTTCTTTAGAAGAGTCACTCCCTTCCTCATTCCGTATTCTAAGCTGTCTTTGTGCTGTTCTAGTTTAGCCAACCACAGTCATTTGAATATCTTACATACTTCAAATGGCTTTCTCTCCTGGTTGCTCACAGTTTTCTGGGAATTTTCCTTTTCTCCTGTGAGAAAAACTGTGTGGGTCACGCATGGTGAGGGTGGGCCATGTGCTTCACTTTGCCTGGGTCACCCCCATGAGCTCCTTGTCCACAAGTCATTATTAATATAGCCCCCTGTACACCCCACAGGCCTCAGCTTGGGTAAGAACACTGTGTATATAATATTAATATAACTATTCATGGAAGAGGGTGGATTTTTAGCAGAAGGTCTAGTTTTTTGACTTATAGAAGTTAGCAAAATATTTGCCTTTGACATGTTTGCTCAGAGAATTGATGGCCCTTGTGTCATACCCTGCTGATCTTCATCTAAAGTATTGCCTTTCTTGGGCTTCCCTGGTGGCGCAGTGGTTGAGAGTCTGCCTGCTGATGCAGGGGACACAGGTTCGTGCCCCGGTCCGGGAAGATCCCACATGCCACGGAGCGGCTGGGCCCGTGAGCCATGGCCGCTGAGCCTGCACGTCCGGAGCCTGTGCTCTGCAACGGGAGAGGTCACAACAGTGAGAGGCCTGCGTACCGCAAAATAAAAATAAAGTATTGCCTTTCTTAATCTAGTTCTTGATGGGCTGGAACAAGGTTGACTGGATTGCCCTCTAAAGGGAAGAATCCCATGACCTCTTTGCTTATGGGATTTTATGACCAAAACACGTATGAAGCCAAACCTCCCATTGATTTCCAGTCTTTCCATAGAAGGGGGTGCTCCCTGAATCTCTCCTGGCACTCTGTCCACAAAGAGGAGCAGTTGTTTAACATCTTGAGTTGCCAAGAATTTTTGGCTGAAGTCACGTAGTAATGCTGGGGTTTACTACAACTTGTGCCAACAAATGTCAGCACACCTCTGCCCTCTCGAGGCCTTCCCTTCCTCTCTTGGTGAGTCAGTACTGCAGGATCCACAGTGGCTGTTCCAGACCATCTCCACTTCTCATACCCAGACCCCTCCTACCCCTGTCATTCTTATCAGATTACAGCATTACCTGTTTTATAGGCGAAACTGAAGCCATCCCAGTAGGAGTGTTCATATTTTCTTTGTTGCTTGAAATATTCGGATTATCATGCACCTTTGTGTCCCTTCTTATTTCTGAAGAAAACCCTCCTCCTTGCCAAGGTTCAGCCTTCCATCTGTTTTCTTTGTTACAGTGTCAGTGGCTCCCTTTCTGTTTTCTTTTATCATAAAATGCCCTTTTCTTGACCTGCTATCCCCTTAAGCCTTCATCTCACCTTCATCACTGCATTCATTGAAAGATCAGACTATAGGTCTTGAACTCACTCCCTTTCTTTTACAACTGATGTGTTGTAGAAATTTTCATTGAATATTATGTACAAGGTTCTCTCTGGAAGTCATTTAAGAAGATCATGGTGGGCCATGATCCAGTCGTCATTTCTTGACCCAGAGGCTCCAGTATATGCTTAATGGAGGTTCCAGCAAGAAAAGAGTGGAAGGGATGAAAGAGAAGCCATTTTTAAAGATAAATTTCTTAGTTTTCCATAATTAAAGGGCGACATATGTTTGGAGATTTCAAGTGTAGTTGGAGTCCCAAGCAGGATAAAGGTAAAAGTCCACCTGGACTCCTTACAGTAAGCTGTCATAACACATTGCTTATCAAGGATAAAGGGAAAATTCTTTTTTTGTTAAATTTATTTATTTATTTATTTATGGCCGTGTTGGGTCTTTGTTGCTGCTCACGGGCTTTCTCTAGTTGCGGTGACCGGGGGCTACTCTTTGTTGCCATGCTCAGGCTTCTCATTGCAGTGGCTTCTCTTATTGCGGAGCAAGGGCTCTAGGTGTGCGGGCTTCAGTAGTTGTGGCACGTGGGCTCAGTATTTGTGGCTCGCGGGCTCTAGAGCGCAGGCTCAGTAGTTGTGACGCATGGGCTTAGTTGCTACATGGCATGTGGGATCTTCCCAGACCAGGGCTTGAACCCATGTCCCCTGCATTGGCAGGCGGATTCTTAACCACTGCGCCACCAGGGAAGTCCTAAGAAAAATTCTTAAAAGCCCCTAAGCTACATTTACATCAGCTACAACAATAAAAGGAGAGTGGAGCTCTGTGGCCTTCTCCCCGCTGCCCTTGCACCCCAAGCCTTTCTTTAGCAACCCATACCCTTTGCCACATTTTCTGTTTGCCTTCACTGATCCTGAGAACCTCTAGCTCTTACTCATCATTTTTTCTTTTTCTTTTTTCTGTATTATTTACCTGCTCCTTTTTTAAATTCTGCCTTTCTAAATGTTAACCTTCCCCAAAGTTATTTTCTTTGTCATCTTCTCCCCTGTCTTCCAAGCTCTTGGCTTCAACTATCATTTTGTTGTTGTTGTTCTTTGCTCACAAGCACATATCTCCAGCCTCAGACTTTTCCATTCATTTAAGTCCCAAATTTCCAGGTATATGTTGGGCAGCGATCCTGATGACACAGTAGCACAGTGATTCTCAAGTGTGATCTGGGGACCGTCATCGGTCCCTGAAACTCTTCCAGGGGTCCCACAAGGTCAAAACTATCTTAAAAGTGATGCTACAGTGTTATTTGCCTTTTCACTCTCACTCTCTTACAAGTGTGCAGTGGAGCTTTGTAAAGGCTACAGGATGTGTAATGACGGAACATATGCTTGTGTACTCTTGTGTTTTAAAAATTCCTCACTTTTAATGTCTAATACGATATATATAAAGAGATAGAACCCACATAAACAGAAGCTCTTTGGGATTCTCAGTAATTTCTAAGGGTGTAAAGGCATACAGATGCCAAAGAGTTAGAGAGCCTGATATGCACAGGACCCTCAGTAACTGCACAGGGTCCTCTTCGTCCTCCCTCTCCTCCAACCTGCAGAATCAGCTCCTGATTCTGTTAATGGCACCACCTTTCCTCTAGACTCCAAGGCAGGAAACTTTTCCTCACCCCCTACGAGACTTTTAGAAGAGTAGTTACTAATACACCTGGAAAGATAAGTAAAGGCCAGGGCATAGGGGGGCCTTCAACTGAGACGGAGGGATGAGAGGTGTGGAACCCTGACAGCAGAGGCATGGGTGGTGGGTCAGGGCGCAGCACTCAGAGCTCACTGCTCTGCTGGCCGAGAGGCCCAGGGGAGTGTGTCTAAGGGCCCCAATGCTCTGGGCCGCAGTGACATCGTGCTGGACTGACAACAGCCAGATTGGTGTTGCAGGGTGCTCCATTGTTCTATATAGTTTTTATCAGTATTATGTTATTGTATCAATTTTTTAAAAAGAGAAAAATTCTGGGAATGGGTAGAGCAAGGACATTTGTTCACATGTGGCTCATTGAACTGAAGTTCAGATTGATGGGGACTTTCTCCAGGCCATTAGTTTCAGAAGTCCAGAGCCCAGTCCCATGAGCCTCCAGCCCATGCCGGGGAGGAGGGCTGAGGTGGGGAAGGGCATTCAGTCCTGTTTGCTTTTCAGATCAGTAACCAGGAATGCTGAGCCCAGGGGTGTGCGTGCCTCGTGGTCTTCTCTCCCATAGACGCTGGCAGGTCAGAGCAGGTGTGTCCCCGCAGCGCTCCAGTCTCTGTCGGGGCCTCGGGGAAAGTGTTTGTTTAACAAATGGAGCGTAACTGCTTGAGTGCATTTTCCCCTTATTGTACTTTATAGCAGCGCTTCTCTCACGGTGCTCCACAGGACTTGGTCAGTATTCTGTGAAAAGAAATGTGCTCTGCCCGGTGATATGTAGGAAAGCTGCACACGGGTTCTCCCACTAGAGACTTACAGTGCACGGCAGCATATTAAAGCTCGGAGGAGTTTTTAATTTTACTGAGGAGTTTTAGTCTACGATAAGATAATTTGTTACATTCTGTTTAACCTACCATTTGATCATGAAATTTTTTTTTTTAAGAATACCTAGTACCACCCACTGCACAGAATAAAATGATTATTCCCAGGAGAGAGTTTGGGAAACATGGGCTTAGTTCCATATTGTTAACATTGATTGTTGGATAGATATATTTTTGTCAAGGTAAACATTTAAAGATGACCATGACCAATCATTTAACCATTATTCTCTCCCTGGTGTCTTCTCCCTCCCAAGCTTCAAATTTAAATTTCCTTTATGTCAGCGATGCCAGATTTCAGTCTTCTGCCCTGGCCTCATTTTTCCCCGGGCTGTTGTTCTTTTGTCACTTGGATACACCACCAGCAACTCAGCATGTCCAGACTCAGTCTCCTTGTCTACCCAGCCTATTCTCCCCTTCCCGGGTTCATCGTGTCCTTGCCCCCAGTCACCCTGGCTTGCAGACAGAGATGCCTCCTGCACTCCCTTCCTGCCCTCGGCCCTTTCACGCCCAGTTGGTCACACCACTGCCAAGACAGCCCACCTGTCCACTCCCTTCTTGCAACCCACAGGGCTTCCCTCCATGCCCCTGCCTCTCCAGTTCATTCTAAGACTAGAGGGACGATGTGCTCACGGCTGATTCTGATTGGCCCTTGTTCGCACCTTTTCATCAGGCCCGAATGGCAAAGTTCAAATTCAGGCTCATGTCCACGTCTGAATGGACATGTCCAGTTTATCTCACCCTATTTTTCTAACATTATTCCCAAAGATTCCCTTCATGGTGTTAGGGAGGTGCTTTTCACAGTAATAGAACATCTTGATGTTCTTTCTACGCAACTTCTATGCACCTTTGAGCCTCTTTGTTCTCTTTGCTTGGAATCCCCTTTATTTCCTCCTCTCCCCCCATGTCTTCTCAGCACATCTATCCATCCTTCTAAGCCCATTCAGAGGCTACCACCCTTACAAAGTTTTCCTTAGTCCTCTCAGCAGGCTATTATATGTCCCTCCTCTGCAACATCACAGCACCTCATGTATACCTTTCTTATAACACTTACCAATTCTATCTTCAATTCCAGTTATTTGTACATCTGCCTTATGCTTGCTTGCAGCTCAGTGAAGTCAGCCTCTGTCATCTATATATTTGTGTCCCCTTCAGAGCCTAACCCAGGGATCTTACCTAACAGGAATGAAAAAAAAAATATTTGCTGAAAAAATATGTGTCTTTTTATGGCTGAGTAATTTTCCATTGTATATATGTGCCACATCTTCTTTATCCATTCATCTTTTGATGGACACTTAGGTTGCTTCCATGTCCTGGCTATTGTAAATAGAGCTGCAATGAACATTTTGGTACATGACTCTTTTTGAATTATGGTTTTCTCAGGGTATATGCCCAGTAGTGGGATTGCTGGGTCATATGGTAGTTCTATTTTTAGTTTTTTAAGGAACCTCCATACTGTTCTCCATAGTGGCTGTATCACTTTACATTCCCACCAACAGTGTAAGAGGGTTCCCTTTTCTCCACACCATCTTCAGCATTTATTGTTTGTGGATTTTTTGATGATGGCCATTCTGACCGGTGTGAGGTGATATCTCATTGTAGTTTTGATTTGCATTTCTCTAATGATTAATGATGTTGAGCATTCTTTCATGTGTTTGTTGGCAATCTGTATACCTTCTTTAGAGAAATGTCTATTTAGGTCTCCTGCCCATGTTTGGATTGGGTTGTTTAAAACGAAATTGAGATATTTGTAGTGAGGTGGATGGACCTAGAGTCTGTCATACAGAGTGAAGTAAGTGAGAAAGAGAGAAACAAATACCATATGTTAACACATATATATGGAATCTAAGAAAAAATAAAGTCATGAAGAACCTAGGGGTAAGACAGGAATAAAGACACAGACCTACTAGAGAATGGACTTGAGGATATGGGGAGGGGGAAGGGTAAGCTGTGACAAAGTGAGAGAGTGGCATGGACACATATACACTACCAAACGCAAAATAGATAGCTAGTGGGAAGCAGCCGCATAGCACAGGGAGATCAGCTCGGTGCTTTGTGACCGCCTGGAGGGGTGGGATAGGGTTGGTGGGAGGGAGGGAGATGCAAGAGGGAAGAGATATGGGAAAATATGTATATATATATGTATAACTGATTCACTTTGTTATAAAGCAGAAACTAACACACCATTGTAAAGCAATTATACTCCAATAAAGATGTTAAAAAAATATATGTGGTTTTAAAATGTTATTTTTATATGTATAAAATTTCCACCATAATTAGTGATAATGTATACAATATTCTTACGTTCTTTAATTATAGGTCTTCTAAAGTGAATAGCAATCATGGGAATTCAAATTAATAGGTGGTCATAGAACGATTTTTAATAGCGTTATAAATGTACCTTTATTCTTAATTTAAACAAGGGTATGTCGCTTCCAAATTCCCTTCACACAGAATAAGGAAACCTTGACCCAGGAGGCCTTGAGCCCCTGAGCCTTTCCTCAGCTGCCCACTCAGCTTCCGGGTAGAACGAGATCGCGCCCTCACAGTCACGTACTCATTGCCCTGAACTTTCCAGAGTTGGAATGTTGGCTAATGTTTGTATTTCAAATAACTTCCTTGTGTGCATAGAAAGTGAGGAGAGAGGTGTCAATACAGAGTTACACAGGTTAGGGCCACCTGAAACCCATTAACCCCAAGATAAATGTCAGTGTGGGTAACCTGAGAGCATCGACTGTTAGGAGAGCTCCAAACCAGTTCCTTTCACAATTCCAGCCTCCCAGCACTCTCTCTCTTAATAAGCACTTTTCAGAAGTTTCATGCAGTGCCTTGTTATTGGGAATTGATTTTAAAGACCTATATCCGAGGACACTTTGCAATGATTATCCTTACATTAGTTTAGGATAAGCCACATCATTTTAAGGAGAAGCCCTGTCGTCTAGTCTACTAGAGCAATGCTGCTCAGATTTTATTGGGCGTGTGAATTTCCCAGGGATCTTGTTGAAATTCATAGTGTCATTCAGCAGGTCTGGGGGGAGTAGGAGATTCTGCATTTCTAATCAGCTCCAGATGGTGTTTTTGCTGCTGGTCCATGGGCCACACTAGGCAGAGGCCTAGAGGAAGGTCCTGGGATTCAGTGATGCTGGATTCTTATCCAGGCTCTGTCACTTAGGCAAATGGTTTACCATTCTGGGTCTTAGTTTTCCTACTCTGTAATATGAGGGTGTTGAAGGGAATGATATCTAACAGCTTTTTCCAGCTCTAACATTTTATGATGACATGAGAGGAAGTAAAAAGAATTAGGAGTCAGGCTGCAGTTCTGAGCATACTTACATTCTCTTAATCTCAACCCAACTTTCATTCATATTTATTAATAACTTATCTTAAATATAGTATGACTGGAAAACATTAAAGTTTTCCATATTTATGTTAGAATGTGGGTCTTCAAAGAATAATTAAAACTCATAACTTAATAAATAGATTGCATGTAAAATACATTCCCCCCACCACTCTCATCTTTCATGTGTGTTCTGTTGTTTTTATTTTATCAGGAAATACTCCATAGCTTGGGTGGGATTGAAAACCTAGCTCAGGTAAGATTCCTTTTGTGGTGGCTGGTTTTGCCTTTCTCTTTTAGGCAGAGATTACACAGGTGTGTGACAGAAGATGTCTTTCTTACCTTAGCTGCATGCCAAGGAGAGGAGCAGGCAGGGTTGTGAGTGTGAGCATGAGGCAGGATACACACAGAGCAGGGAGGGACTCGTGACATTTTCTCTTGGCTAATTGGGCTCACTTTACCCAGCCTGTTGAAACTAGAAAGTTCTATCAATATAAAAGGTCACCTGTCTTTAGTTAGTAAAGAAAATAAATAGGTGTTGTCTGGCAGGCCCCAGGCTTCAGCATTGCACACACCAAATGGTGGGAGAAAATATTGGTTATGAAGATGTTCATAACTTTTCCACACAAAAAAGAATTGCTGTGCTCACTAAAATATTAAAAATAAATGACAATGTGAGGAATGATCTTGACTTCATTTATTTTTCTGCTTTGGTAACTACTGAGGCAAAGTAAGGAGGTGAATATATATGCTGAGACAGTCCAATGTTTGGGCTTACTAATACAATCAAACAAAATTTCCAGGCATGGAAACAGTTGAAACAGCCCATTCTCCTGAAATCTATACCATGTATGGAAAGAATAATTTTCATAATAAACCCGTGGCCCTACAAACTCATCCTGAGTTATTAATGGATGATTAATTTTAATGAAAATTTAATATTAAATCTATTTTATTATTTTTTTATTGGGAAATTGATAAAACATATCTTGTTTTTATTTTTAAGAAAATTTTTAATTGGCTAGAGGTTTAGCTCATTTAATGAAATAATCTTTAATAAAATTATATTGTAAAGGATCTTTTTATCCATTCTACTTTCATTAAAATGTCAGAAATTTATGTGTGTTTCTCTGAACTTATTACAATCAGTCATCCACAGTGAGGGATTATTAGACTACCCCATACATTTCATTCTGATTATTGCTATCTGCTTGTATGCTGGTTAGATATAATTTAGGATGTTATAAAACATAAGGTCGATAAAATATATGCAGTGTGTTATTAAAATTCTGCTGAAAAGTTACATTGAAGAATTAAAATTCTATGTACTATATTATTGCATCTTACTTGTATCTTTTATTTGGAGGCTAAATTGCAACACAAATTTATCCAGTTAGGAGTCATCTTGGGACTTTTGAGAGTTTAAACAATCTTTCCAGGTCCCTCCCTCCACTTTGGGGTGTTCCACAGAAGCCAAGAACCCAGAAACCCACTCCCTTCTGCCCTTGAGTGAAGCAGGCCCAGGGACACCAAGTATTGTTTGGTGAGCCTGTTGTGCCACCTACAGCTCATTTTCAGAAGTGCACAACCTTTCCCCTCACCTGCTGTGTGCTTGAGCGTCCTCCCCTCTGATTCGCCTGTCGGTCTCCCCCTCCCCCCGCCGCAGTACATGGAGATCGTGGCCCACGGGTACCTCGGCTCCGGGGAGGCGCAGCACAGCGTGGACAAGCTGGTCAACATGACGTGTAAGCGCGGTCCCGGGACGCAGCTGGCCTTCCGGGCATAGCATTTGCAGCAGGGAAGGGGGGACGCTTTGAATACTCACGGGGGTCCCCACACAGCTATGAGCTTGAGAGTCCATGCCAGCTGTTATGCTCAGTGGCAAAATGTACCCAGAAGGGAGATTTTTAAATCACAGTTCTTACCTTGAAAAACCCGATTTCATGTTTTAAAAGATTTTCATTGAGCACAAGCTTAGTTTATTTAGTGCAAGAGAGATTTCCTTCCATAAAAACAAATTTTGGTAAAAATATTTTTTGCCTCCTTCGATTTCTATTAAAATGTCAGAGACTATTCATTTTTCATCTGTAAGATTGGGGTAATAACAATACCCACTTACAAAGCTTCTCTTTTTGGAAGCTCTTCCCAGCCCACCTTCCGTGCTCCCTGGATTTGATGAGTGCACACTCCTGCTCTCGTGAGAGTGAGCCCACTTTCTTTGTGTGCACAGGACAGGACCTTAATTCTCAATTCCAGGGAGAGAGGAATCTGTGGTGAGCCTCAGGGACCAGGAAGATTCTGTGAGGCCAGCCGTTCCCCTCCACTGAGGAACCTTGCTAAGTCCATCACATGAAATCTTTATGGGGACTATCTTTGAAGAATAGGTTTCACTATGAACTTGTAATGATATTAAGGAACTCATTCAACTTTAAGTGGAAGGGAAGGTTTAATTTTCTTGCTATCTCCAAATTTTATTATTATAATAGTGATATATAATAAATACTAGTTGAGCTTGAAACGTGATTCTTGAAGTAAAAAAAATCAACCCTGTCCCTCCTCCCTCCATTGTCCTTTTTGTGTGGCCTGTGTTCCCATTTGTCCTTCCTTTGCTTGCCCATCAGTACTTGAGACCTGAGGCTCTATGAGCACTGACCCCCTTCAAGCTTCAAATCCCTCATTGAGATATTCCATTCCTTTATAGATATTTTTCAAAAACTTGCTGCTGTCAAAGACCAAAGAGAATGGGTCACCACAAGCAGAGCCCACAAGGTGAGTAGTCCCAGAAGGAGTTCCTGCTTCAGCTTCATATGGTGGTGGTTCACATGCTAGAGTCCAGAGCCCTTGTGGTCAAGCCATGTGTAATTATAATTCTCAAGCCTGCTAACCTAGCCTAAAATTGCCAATCTCTGCTAACCTGCCTAAGGAGTAAATATAGAAACAGCAAATAAAGGTTTTCTGAAACTTTTTTCTTTGTTCTATGTCATTTAATTCTTTATTGCTTAATCAACTAAGTTTATTGCTTAATTTAAATGTTGCTTGTAAAACCTTGACTATATATAAACTGACCCTAGGTGTGTGTTTACAAATAAATAAATAAATACATATATGTGTATGTATACATATAAATACATTCCATTTGACACATGAGGTTATATTAGTTTGAACCATGTGAAATTACCCTGGTGTGTAGGTCAATTTCATATGGTTTAACTTCATAATAAGATGGTTTAGTATTATAAGCCTATGGGTCAAATACATATTTCAAGATGAATGAATGCAGGTTTAATCAAAACAGACTACATTTATATTTACAGCAAAACTATTTAGCTGGTAGCTGCCTAGAGCCAGGTTTCAATAATTTGTTGAGTTTTTATATCCCAGGAAGCCACTTTCCAGCATATATTAGAGCAAAGTTGCCTAAAATGTGTTAACACATGCTGCTCATTGTATGGGGGGGGTGATTCTTAGTGATAATACAGGTCAACATTTTTTATTTCAATAGCTATATATTTCACTGATATATATCACTTAGAATTTGAAGAACATATTTGAGTAGCATTAAGGTGTTAAGGGTGGACATGACAAAAATTGTGAAATGATATATCAGTGACTGCATTTTGAGAAATATTATGTTAGAAGACAGAAAGCAAAAAGTGAGAAAAGAAAAAGAGGAAGGGATCTGAGAAACAAAGATAATAATAGCTCCATAGAAAATGCATAAGATCATAAAGGGGAAAAACCCACATAATAGAAACCCAAAATCAGCCTAGTAGTTGTTATACAGGTCTGAATAACAGGTCTGAGCTGTTATACAGCTCTGGTCTGAAGTATGTTTGGGTGTGTGCTTTGGGGGACCCTGAGTTCTAAAAATTTAGAGGGAAAATATGTAAATTTGTAGTAATGGGAATCCCGAGAAGGTGACTGATAGGATATAGACGACTCCCAACTCAGTGATGTTACTCAGAAATTTGAGAGGCAAATGGATTGTCTGGTAGTGTTAGCATATCTTGCTTAGTTTGGGAAGAAATGACAGTCTTCAACATTTTGTTGAAAAAGTACTTTCATAATTTGGAAAGTGCCTGCCACAATGCCAATGCCCAACTCAGAATGAGTGCTCAGTGACTGGTCACTACCAGAAGACAGAGAGCAGACAGCATGGGCACTTGGAAGTAGAGGGCCATGTATCGTGGTCCCTTTGCTTCCTGTCCTGGGCAAGTAATGCCTACAAGGAGCTCATCTGAAGAGGGGGTGGATGCCTGCCCCTTAAGAACTGGGGATTGTGAATGTTTAACAAATTTTGAGGTTAAGCCTCTATGATCTTTAGAAGGAAACATACTGTTCAAGAAGCTTGTAGTACTTACATAATTAAACCTTATTTTACTTCATTTTTCAGACATTAGTAAATTTACTCAGTGCCCGAGATACTAACGTTCTGTTGGGTGCCCTTCTGGCTGTGGCTAGTTTAGCTGAAAGGTGAGTGTATTTTAATAGGTTCTGCTGCTTTAGCAACTCAGATGGAAGAAATGCAAAATAGATCAGTTTCTCTATTTATTTTGTCATCTACTTAGTTAAAATTTGTGAAAAATAAACATGAAGTACCATAACTATACTGAAAAGGATCCGGGATAGAAAAGCATCATTTTAGAATTTAAGTTGGAGCAGCAAAGCAGTTTAAAATTTTCTTTTTTTTTCCCTGACTAGAAATATTTACCTAGTTTTTTCATCCAACCCTCAGTTACTTCTACTTTCAAAATTACACAATATGTCTTGGAAGTTGAATCTCCCTGACTTGTTTTCTTCATTCTCTCCCCTATTTATATTTTAACATTTTCAAATATTTTTGCCCTTTAAAAAATTCTAGATAACCCCTACAGATGTTATGATTATTTTAAATTAAAAAGCTTTAAATATGTTTTTATACCAGTAAGTGGATCACTGCTTTTTTGTTTTTTGGGTTTTTTTCCAACTTAATTGAGGACTAATTGACAAATATAATTTTATGTATTTGAAGTGTACAACATAATGATTTGATACACATATACACTGTGGAATGATTACCAAGATCAAGATAATTAATACATCCATCACCTCTCATAGTTAACTCTTTTTTTTGGTTTTGTGATGAGAACATGTAAGATCTCTCAGCAACTTTCAAGTGCACAACCCCATATTATTAACTGTAGTTGCTGTGCTGCACATTGTATCCTTAGTGCTCATTCTTCTTATAACTGAAAGTTTGTACCCTTTAACCTACATCTCCCTGTTTCCCCCTACTTCCAGCCCCTAGTAAACACCCTCCATTCTATTCTGTTTCTATGTAGTCGGTTTTGTTTGTTTATTTTAGATTCCACATATAAGTGATACCGTATGGTAGTTGCCCTTCTCTGTTTGGCTTATTTCATTTAACAGATTGTTCTCTAGGTTCATCCATATTGTCACAAATGACAGGACTTTTTATGGCTGAACAATATTCAATTATAACTATATATAAATATTCAATTATATATATAAATATGTATATCACATTTTCTTTAACCACTTCATCTATCAAAGGATATATAAGGTCATTTCTATATCTTGGCTACTGTGAGTAACACTGATCATTGCTTTTTTGTGAACAGCGTATGATTCCCTTTCTCCAAAGGAAATCATGTTATCATCATACTGTTATTAAACAAATTTAAATTTATGACATATAATACTTATTGAATGTTGGAGTTTAATGTAGCCCTGCCCCATAGAGCTACATTGCATTTTGTTTCTCCTCCTGGGATAATATGAGGGCTAAGATATTAAATACATGGATATGGTAAAATACATTTTTCATAGTTACTAATACTTTTCAATTTGTAGTCCAGAATGTAGGGAGAAAATAAGTGAACTCAACATTGTAGAAAATCTGCTGATGATTTTACATGAATATGACTTGCTTTCCAAAAGGTAGGACTGCTAACAGGGGAAAATGACAGTGTCTGACATTTAATGAAAATGATTATTATTATTTTACTTATGTTATTTACATTGTTAACTGAATATCATGCGTCAACTTGGCATTTATCTTCTATTTAAGTTTATATAAAGTAACCAATAGCAAAGAGATATATCGATTTGTCTCTGGTCCTGCTTTACTTCTAGAACTGGTCATAGATTTGAAATATATAAATCTCATGATTACATCTTTAATATTTTTTTATTACATTTATTTACATCCTGTCTCCTTAAGGAAAGAAACTCTGAGGTGGCTCTACTTTCAGTAATTTCAGATTGTGTGTTGAATAAGTGATTAGATTCCTAAAATCTATTTTGCTTAAGGCAAGTAAAATACATTAAGATAGCTACTGACTTATTTCATGACCAAAACAGAATCTAGAGTAAAATGAACTCATTTTCACTTGAACTACCTATTGCCCTAAAAACTTACTGTATCCAGATATTTATTAGGTTACCTGCATCATATGATATTTAGTCGAGTAAGTCATAATTTTCTAAAGAGGCAAATAGTTAACAGAAATCCCAAGCAATAAAACACTGACATTTAACTCATAGTAAATCCCTTGAATTCTTCATCTAAGCCAATTTAACCCTCTTTTACAAACTATACTTAGACTTGGTTGTCTGAATTGATTCACCCAATAGCCTCTGCACAGGTGTTGGAAAACCAAAGATGAATAAGAGATGGTTGCATGGTGTAGGAGAGGGGCAGACACACAAATCATCAGTTTCACCACAACATTGTAGGTGGTATGGTCAGTGGATGCACAGGATAGATACCCTGAGGGCATGGAGCAGCACCTCCAATCAGAGCGAGGGGTCATGCCAAGTCTCCTAAAAGAAGGAGCAGTTGTCTAGGCAGAGGAAGAGAGCAAGTGAAAACAGAATATGCTCCCACCTGGAGGCCTGCAGTGCTGTGTGAGAGAGGAGTGTGCATGGGTGGGCGCAGCTACAGCAGAGTGCAGGAGGGAGGGTGCCAGAAAACTAGTTAGATAAGTTGGCTTATAAGTTAGATAATAAGTTAGATAAGTTAGAAATAGAGCTAATTTTGATAAGTTAGAAATAGAGCTAATTTTGGCCAGGCCTTCTACATGCCAGGCCCTGCTCTAAGCACTTTTGTGTTTTAACTTGTTTGATCTACAATTCTCTTTCTATATTTTATAGATGAGATACCTTTAGCGAGGTCATGATGGGCTCTTTGTGCCTAGTAGTGTGGTTTTTATCATGAACATGGAGACTCACAGATTTTAATCATGATCAGATTGATTTTGTGGGGACAGTTATTCTGATTGCAGTGTGTGGAGTGTGGAATTTAGCCACACAATGAGATCCACTTAGAACAAGGAGGGTATTTTTGGTGTAGAAAGTTTGAGAAGGTGAAGAGTACTGTCTACCAAAGAACATATGTCAGAGCATAAAAGTTTGGGAGGGAGAGGAGCCATGGAAAATTAGCTCAGGGAAAGGAATTGTGAAGCAGGATGAGAATGGAAATATTGGCGAGCAGAGTGACAGAGAAGCTTATATCTTGAGCATAATCGAGGCTCAAAAGGATGGAGGGGCAGTGGGTTTAGCTAGCTGCAGGACTCACAGAAGAATTAACCCCAGTGCTTGCCCAGGAAACAGGGGGCACCAAAGGCTCTCCACTGGTTGGAGAAGAAGGGAGTGTCTTGGAGGATTCCCAGTCTTTGGCTTGGAAATTGAAAAGACTGTGGTGTCCTGAGTCCAGATCGGGGACATAAATGGAAGGGCTGATTTGGGGAGGAGGATAATGACTGAGTTTAGAAACAGTGGGGTTAGTGCCTGTGGAACAGTTAAGTGACTGCTGGAACCTCTATAGGTTTGGAGTGATGCCTGGGCTGAGATCACAGTGCCGGGTAGAGGGAGTGTTTGAAGCCATAGGAATAAATAACACCATCCAGGAAGAGTGTTCAGAGTGTGAGCCTGGAGGATTCAGGACAGCTCTATGAAACGTCTATAATCATAATGTTTCAGAGCTTAGTTGAACCTTATGTCTTATGCCATCATTATCTTTATTTTACTCTCCAGATATTCACTGAGCACTTTGCATTTAATTTCCCTGGATCATAGTGTTTTTGCCATCAGGTATTAATGTCTTATTTTTGCAATCACATAGTAAGTTTCTGAAGACTAGGATAAAACTTTTATATTTCTTTTGTCTTGAGCATAATTCAGGTCCCATTGTATGTACTTGATGCCTGTTTGCTCGTTAGTAGGTTTTTAGCCAGACTAATGGGGATACCATGAGGATATGACTTAGAAAGTGGTCCAGAAACTATGACCTGCAGGCTAAATTTGGCTCCCTGCCTGTTTTTGTGAATAAAGATTTATTGGCACACAGCCATGCCCATTGGTTTTCATGTGTTGTCTGTGGCTGCTTTTGCACATGTTGGCATGGCTGGGTACTCATGACAGAGACTGTATGGCCCATAGAGCTGCAAACACTTGGCTGTGATCCAGCCCTCTACAGAGAACATGAGCTGACTGTGACATAGAGCCTGTTAGCGCGACCGTCCGTGCATGTCGGCAGCTCCGTGTGAATCAAGTCAAGCCACCACTGAGCTGAGTCTCCCCTCCCGCCCATCCCTCGCAGGCTCTCGGCTGAGCTGCTGCGCCTGCTCTGTGCCGAGCGCCAGGTGAGAGAGCAGGTGAAGCTCTACGAGGGTGTCCCCATCCTCCTCAGCTTGCTGCACTCAGACCACCTACAGCTGCTGTGGAGCGTCGTCTGGATCCTGGTTCAGATTTGTGAGGACCCTGAGATGAGTGTGGAAATTCGCATTTGGGGAGGCATCAAGCAGCTTCTTCATATTTTACGAGGGTGAGTCAGAGTAGGCTTTGGCCTGCTTCACTCTGGCTGATGAAGGCTGGGGTCTCAGCTGTTCGAGGGCAGGGTGGGCATGTGCTCAGCTGGCTCCCTCCCATTCTTTGGTCATTCATGTTCTACAGAGTCATTTTTACTTGTTGCAAACAGGCTCTAAATCAATGTCAGAAGTGTTCATCTTTTCAGCTCCTTGGGAGCCCTGACATATTTTTTGAATCACCAGCCTGCATTAAAGTAACGGATGTATGATCCTTAGTTAAAATAGGGGGAAATACGGTTATTCAAATGATTCCATGTTACTGACCCTGGGCCAGTTGCTCCTCTTTTCTCTCTAATCTCCGTGGCAGTGCTCTGAGGTGGATTAAGACCTTGTTGTCTCTCTTTTAAAAGTAGAATCTGGGGCTTCCCTGGTGGCGCAGTGGTTGAGATTCCGCCTGCTGATGCAGGGGACACGGGTTCGTGGCCCGGTCCGGGAAGATTCCGCATGCTGCGGAGCGGCTGGGCCTGTGAGCCATGGCCGCTGAGCCTGTGCTCCACAACGGGAGAGGCCACAACAGTGAGAGGCCCGCGTACCGCAAAAAAAAAAAAACAAAAAAAAGAATCTGGTGGTATTCAAAGCCATAAATCTGGGGAAGGAATGGCTTGTTAAAATAGTTTCAAACTAAAATTCTCTTGAATTATGTTGCAAAAACTATAACAATAACAAAAAATAGTAGATATGGTATTGTATTACAAGTATTGAAGTATTGAATAACAATATTACTGGTACCACCAATGGGAAGGATCTATTACCTAAAATTATTATAGAGCATAATTCATCCCCCTAGGTGCTGAATCAAAGTTGAAAAGGATTATATCTGCCTGGAAAAAGATCACGGTTATCTGTAGTATGTAAATAAAGTTCATTCTAATAAAAGCAGAGTAACATCAATTTTAATATGACTTGTTATCAAATCAATATTATTCAGACTTTGTGCTTATTGTGCCTGATAACTTGATATTGTGGAGCTATGTGTCATCAGCTCCATTCTCTGAAGGAACTTTCCAAAGCATAAGAACAGACTAGAGATATGAACCGTGACTTTGTTAACAATTTCTGTCATTACCAAAACCAAGGAAATAATGTGTAGACTGTTAACAATCTACTTGCTTTTATGAATATCACATAAAAATCTCAAGTACTTTAAAGTATAAACTATAAAGCTTTCGTTAGTATTGTGGCATAATGAGCTAGCCCCACAGTCAAAGTAATTATGATTGCAAAGGTTTTTTTCCACTTGAGTTTATAGGATGATGGTGGTGGTTATTTTTGTCCATCATACGTATTACAGTGGCTGTGGGTAGCCCTCGTGGAGAGCAGCTATTTTCTTGATGATAAAATTAAATTATATAATAGTTAAGCAATACTTCAAGGACAAAACCTGCCTTTTGACAACATAGAACTGAGTTTAATATAAGGTACTAGTTTTCCCCTTTTGGAGGAACCATTCTTGATAGAAAAGAGTTCTTTCACATCTAAAGAGTAATTTTCCCAGTCCACTTCTATGGTACAATGTTAGAAATGTCTTCCCTGGGAAGAAGATGTATGTCAATACTTACTCTATGTTAAATATGGCTCAGTGCTCTGGGAGAATTTATTACACCAGCTGTGTAAACAATATCCTTTCAGAGATGGGCTGCCTGGAGCTGGTACAAGGGGTGAGGTTGCCAGGTTGTCTGCTGGCTTGAGTATGAACAGCCTCTGTTGTCAAGGTGGTTTATAGGAAATCTGTTCACGCCCATTCACCTGCAGTCCCAAACTCAAAGGCAGTTACTAAAAGGTTACATACTCTTGATCAGATAGAGTGATCCCTAAAATTCAAGTTTTAACATAATTAAAGATCATTGACTGCAGCTATTCCATTACCTTCCCTATGCTCCCCGAAAGAAGGGCAGAGGGCCCAGATGACACAGGAGGGAGGCCAGGGAGACTCCATCCACTTTACGTTTGGGTATATAGAAATCTACATAGAGCTGCTGCCGTAAAAATAAGTGCATGAAAAAACATGGCAACCATGTAAAACAGAAGGGAACAAAGCAGATAAAGACAGACGAATGATCTATTGTGGAAGATGTTGCACTAAGTAAACAGAAAAACAAATGCTTTATTTTATCAAAGACATTAAACAGAACGTGAAGTTTATGAAATGAGATTAAAGATGAGATGATAGGATAGTAAAAAGGAGAATAGAATGATTGTGAAGCTGGGAAAGAAGATGAGGACTGAACAACATGCAGAGACTGAGTACCAGAAAGAATGTGGAGTTAGTGAAAGGAAGGGCGTGCTTGAAAACTTACACACGATGCAGAGGAGGAAGACAAGGGAATAAGAACAACATAAAATGAAGGATATGGCCTGCAGAAGATGGGTTCTCAACACGTGGATAATTGATATCCCTAAGGTAGAGAACAAAACAAAAGGAAATTTTGGAAAGCCTCAATCATCTAATAGAAGAGAACTTTCCTAAAATAAAAGAAGATTGGAATTTAATGGAAAAAGACAAAACTCAGAATGGTGAAGACTGAGATGTATTCAAGTAAATGGCAGAAGAATAGAGTTCAAAACAAAGGCAGCCATGTGAAAAATAGAGAGATGACTCCTACCTCACACTTCACACAAAAATCATGTCTGAGTGGATTGGAAGGTCACACAGGAGAAAACTTTATGACCTGGGGAGGCAAAGATTTATAAAACGGGAATCAGAAAGCACTGACCATGAACTACCATTGATAAATTGGTCTGTGCATTAACTTTTCTTTTTCAGGGACAGAAATTTTGTTTCTGATCGTTCCTCCATTGGAAGCCTGTCTAGTGCCAATGCGGCAGGCCAAATCCAGCAGCTTCATTTGTCAGAAGATTTCAGCCCTCGGGAAATACAAGAAAATACTTTCTCTCTTCAAGCAGGTATTTATATCATATTATTATGTTTCATTATTTGATACTGTTTAACCTTGTATTATTCTATTATAAAATTATAATGATAATATTAATTATATTTATAACTTAAAAAATGTGAAGTTAAATTCATGTGGATGCCTGAAACTTCTTGGTACCAGTGTTGGAATTGCAGGTTAAAGACACCCCAAACTTTCCTCTGCTTGCCAAGTTCTGTGGCCTAACCTGTTAGCCCTCTAAAGTAGTTCATACTCGGATTATAAGGGTTAATTTGGATAATATATTTAAAGTACGCACTATTTACCTGACCATTGTCCATGTACATTGAGCACGTGCTCCACACAGGGCACATGTTGGGTATGGGGCTGACGGTGCCTGCCCCCCCCCACTCCATGCACAGCGGGGTGCATTAGGGGTGCCCCACAGGCTGCCATGGGGTGTGCATGCATGTGAGCTACACGAAGAAGAAAGGTACCAGCAAGCACAACTCAGGTGCCTTTCTCCCAGAGACGTGCCAGAAGGAAAATTAGTGTTTTTTGAGGAATGGCTCTGCCAACAAAATTCTCTGAGGCAGGGAGCGAGATTGCTGATGTGCAAGTGCCGCCATGGCCACGACAGACACGGCATTTGGTGGTTTTCGTTGCAGCCTGCTGTGCGGCCCTCACGGAACTGGTGCTCGACGACACCAACGCCCACCAGGTGGTTCAGGTGAGAGGACAGGGTGCCAGGACCTGTCACGATGGAGGGAGCCCACCTCAGGTGACACCTGTATCCTGGAACATGGCTTAAAAATATTGTAATATGTCTTATTTAACATGTAGAATTCCATTTTATATTCTTGTCCTTCCTCTTTTAACTCAGCTTAAAAAGAACTGCCATGTAGGTAACTGATGGTGTTTATTCCCAATATTACGTGCAGTCTATTTCATTTTCTTTATCTTTTTTTTTAAAGCTATTCTGAATTGTTTTTTGTTTTTACATCTTTATTGGAGTATAATTGCTTTACAATGGTGTGTTGGTTTCTGCTTTATAACAAAGTGAATCAGTTATACATATACATATGTTCCCATATCTCCTCCCTCTTGCGTCTCCCTCTCTCCCACCCTCCCTATCCCATCCATCCAGGTGGTCACAAAACACCGAGCTGATCTCCCTGTGCTATGCGGCTGCTTCCCACTAGCTATCTATTTTACGTTTGGTAGTGTATATATGTCCATGCCACTCTCTCACTTTGTCACAGCTTACCCTTCCCCCTCGCCATATCCTCAAGTCCCTTCTCTAGTAGATCTGTGTCTTTATTCCCATCTTACCCCTAGGTTCTTCATGACATTTTTTTTCTTATATTCCATATATATGTGTTAGCATACTGTATTTGTCTTTCTCTTTCTGACTTACTTCACTCTGTATGACAGACTCTAGGTCCATCCACCTCACTGCAAATAACTCAATTTCGTTTCTTTTTATGGCTGAGTAATATTCCATTGCATATACCTGCCACATCTTCTTTATCCATTCATCCGATGATGGACACTTATGTTGTTTCCATCTCCTGGCTATTGTAAATAGAGCTGCAATGAACATTTTGGTACATGACTCTTTTTGAATTATGTTTTTCTCAGGGTATATGCCCAGTAGTGGGATTGACACATGAAAGAATGCTCAACATCATTAATCATTAGAGAAATGCAAATCAAAACTACAATGATATATCATCTCACATCGGTCACAATGGCAATCATCAAAATATCTAGAAACAATAAATGCTGGAGAGGGTGCGGAGAAAAGGGATCACTCTTGCACTGCTGGTGGGAATGTGAATTGGTACAGCCACTATGGAGGTTCCTTAAAAAACTACAAATAGAACTACCATATGACCCAGTATTCTGAATTATTTTAATTTAATTGTTTTAATTCCTATGGGGCATAGGACACCATGAGTTAAGGATAGCAGTCACTTTAAGAGGACATGAAGTTATTCAGCTAGAGGTGATTAAAACACACCAAACAAAATATTTATTGCCAGGAAACTGATTTCACAGAGCACACAAAGCATAATTCATTAACCAATTCACTACATATACAGTCATATGTGTGTGTGTGTGTGAATACACACATTTGTATACAACCCTTGTATGTGTTTCTATTATAAAAGTTATTTCCTGCTTGTTGAATTTTACAGAGAAAAGGTTTTTTTGTTCAGTACATCAACTTAAAAATACATAAATTCATAAAGTTAGTAATGGATCATGTCAGCAGTGATCAGAGTCCCTGGGGAAGCTCAGCAGGTCAGGGTGGCTGCTGAGGCAGGGGGAGGCTCAGTCCTGTTATCATTGCTTGCTGTCTTGGCCTCTGGAAAAATATTTAGCCTAAGTTTTGACTTTGTCATGTATAAAACAAGGAAATTACAGACTAATTCACAGAACAGCTATGAAGACTAAATGTAATAAGGCAGGTAAAGCTCTTCACAGTTATAATATAAATGCCCACATACAGTAGAGTTCAGTAAATTATGTATTTAATAGATAATAAAAAATGTAGCAATAAGGTAATACTTTTTGTTCATTCCCCCATGTCTGTATTTGTGTTAGAATAAGGCTAGAAAGATGTTAACCGTTTATACAAATAACTTCCATTTTTAAAAATCTATGATTTTTCTCTTATTTTTCTATCTTCTTTTCTATACTAGTTTATCTACATGTATTGTTTAACAAAACAATAAAGGGAGAAATATTTCATAATTAGATATTTAAAATGCAAAATATAAAGGCATTTGGATCCCTTTACTCTGCCCCCTTTTTTTGCCCCCTACTCTTTGTTTTTAAAGTATTTAAATCACTTTTAATTGATATACTTTGTTATTTATAATCTTTAACGACAGTTGAGATTTTATGATGTGGTTATAGTCGTTGATGTTTAAAAGCATTACACTGACATTTTTAGTATTGTCCTGTAATATTTACTCCTGATTCCAAAATTATACTAACATTTCTTCTTTAATATTTTAAAATTGTTCCTTCCTTCTTTATGCTGTGTATCTCCATAGCATTGTTGCTGGTCACTGATAACATGGCATCTTTATTCTTCCAGGAAAATGGTATATATACAATAGCAAAATTAATTTTACGAAATAAACAAAAGAATGCAGCAAAAACTAATCTATTACAGGTAATAAACATATCCATTATTCTTTAACATCAAGTTACTGGAATCTGGGGAAATTTTGGTAATATAATCTATGAATTTTAGAATTTTTAGGTTAGCACTGGTCCCCTGTACTGACCGAGAGGGAAGAATATCTGGTGAGGGAGGCTGGCATGGAAACAAATGCTGTTAAAACAATGTAGAGGGGCTTCCCTGGTGGCACAGTGGTTGAGAGTCTGCCTGCCGATGCAGGGGACACGGGTTCATGCGCCGGTCCGGGAAGATCCCACATGCCGCGGAGCGGCTAGGCCCATGAGCCATGGCCACTGAGCCTGCGTATCTGGAACCTGTGCTCTGCAACGGGAGAGGCCACAACAGTGAGAGGCCCACATACCGCAAAAAAAAAAAAAACCCAAAAAACAATGTAGAAGGCTTAACAGTAGTTTCTCTGTAGGGATTTAGGTGATTTTATTTAGACATTTCTTTGCTTATCTGTAAGTTCTATGTTTTAAAAACATTGCTTGTGTATCAAAATAATACTACGGGGAAAATTATGTGCCATCTTTAAGCATGGACCACAGTCAGTAGCATTTCACCTTTACAAAGGCAAACCTGTAAAATGGATCTTGATGGATGAGCTGGTGCTGGTCAGGTGAGTAAAGGGATAGAAGTGGGCACCCATGATATCTGCTCCAGGGCGGACGGGCATCCGCACAGAGAGAAGAACGTGGACAAAGGACAGGAGCCTGGCAGCTTAGAGTGTGCTTAGGCTGCTCAGTGGGGTGGGTGTGGGGTGTGGGGTAGAGGGAGTACCTTAGGACAGCGGTCCCCAACCTTTCTGGCACCAGAGACTGGTTTTGTGGAAGACACGTTTTCCATGGATGGGAGCGGGGGTGGGGGCAGAATTCAGGCAGTAATGGGAGCGATGGGGAGCGATGGGGAGTGGCAGATGAAGCTTTGCTCGCTCACCTGCTGCTCACCTCCTGCTGTGCGGTCCAGTTCCTAACAGGCCACGGACCAGTACCGGTCCATGGTCCAGGTGTTGGGGACCCCTACCTTAGGAGATGAGGCCTGGAAGGTAAGAAGGGGCCACATTATGCAGGGTTCTATGTGCTTTTTTGAGGAGTGGACACCAGGGGGCAAGTGTCCCCAAAGACATTGGCATGACAAAATCAATTTAAAGTAAGCCTTTGCAGTAGCTGCAGCTTATCTTTTTTTCAAGTCGTTAGAACAGGAAGTAAAAAACAACATTTGCCTTCAATCTGATTTAAGAGCTTTCAGCCAGAATGATGGTCAAACCTAGCAGAGAATTTTTGGTGGTATCTGTGGGCTGGCAGGCAGAGATTTTGGAGAGCTACCACTGAGAACACACAGGCGTGGGACTTACTTCTCTAGTACAGCACTGATGCATGACACTGTGCTGGACCATGGTAAAGTACACTCCCTCCTGCACATGTATTCTGTTAAGCCAGTAGAGGCTTTTAAAGAATATGTATGGAAATTCTTTCAAGGCACATGCATGTTCCTCGCTTCTCACAGTCTCCACTGCTTTCTCACCAGTCTCCTTCGTGTGGTCTTGTTATCTGCCTGGCTTCTCCAGACAGTTTTGTTTGTGACCCTTCTATATTCAGATCACTAATTTCATGAAAAGATTCCAGATTCGAATTCAGCAGACCCTGGTCACCCCAGTGGTGGCCTATTGTACAGGTACAGCTGCAAGCCTGGGGCTCTCTCTTTTTTCTCAGCACTGCAAAATGTCCAGTGTTTATTTTTCTTTGTTAAAGTCTCACAGGCCTCTTTCTGAGTGTTCTCAGGAGTTACTGTAGATGGTTCTATCTGGGGAATGCTTTAGACCTTACTCAAGAGACCAGTTTGTCAAGTTTGAGTCCAGTGTGCCTGTGGCTATTTTTATGTCATTATTTCTAGTGTTTATTTTCTCAGAGAAACTATGTAAATACTGAGGCATACATAGCAGGCTAGAAAGAAAATAAACCTTGAGCTCCTGGAAATCTTGGGACATTTGGTTTTCTCGGTGTAGGAGTTTTATTTCTTGTCTCTCTGCTCCTTCTGTACTTTCTAGAAAGGAACTAATGACAGGCACTGAGTGAAACAAGGCCCAGATCCCTAGCCTTCCACAACGCAAATACTTTTTAAACATGAGAACTGGCCCAGGTGTTGATGTTGTCTGTTTTCAGTTACAAGCTGTGGCTCCCACAGAGACCAGCCACACTCACCAAAAAGCCACGTTAATGTTCACTTCATGATCATGCTATCCTGAAAATGTTTTACTTTGTTCAGCTACCATTTGAGAATCATATATCCTTTTATTTCCAGTGTTATGCTTTCAGAGCCTTGAGGTTTCTCTTCAGTATGGAAAGAAACAGACCACTCTTTAAAAGGTATGAGCTTAGAGAAATTTAAGTGATCAGTGGTCATTAGAGTCAACTGTTTCATGTACCTGATTTAGATGCAAACAGTAAGAGAATAAAGAGTCAGTATGCAAAACATGTGCCTTCAGATTTCTTAAAATCCACAGATAATACTGAGCAGCCCTAGTGATATCTTAACTCTGAAAATTCACAAAATGTTGAGGAAAGCACATGAATCACATCAACACAACTCTTTTAATTACATGTAACTGCTATGGTTTTTAGTTTTTCTTTTTTAAGACATTAACATTTTTAATGGATGAAATAAAAATATGTGCTTGTTTTTGCCCATTCAGAAATGTCCAAAGTTGATCTAGTCATTTCCTTTTAATCAATAGAAAAGGAAGTATTTGTCTGGATGTCCTTAACAGTATAGGAACCCATTTGAAGGGGAGGAGGCTGGATGTTCCTGGATCAGAAGGTTGTGTGGTGAGCATGACAGAAAAACCACCACCTTGGGAAGCAGACCGTGGTTACCTACAGGTGTGGTCTGTGTGCCATAGAGGTGGCAGGTTAGCCAAATCGTAGGCCCAAGTTCTTACTAGAATTTTATTGATAAGGCAAAATGGAAATAAAATCTTGAGTTAATATAACATCTTTTGTTTGGAAGAATGGGGCATTTTATGTTTTTATTTTATTTCTATATAACAGTTGAATTTAGGGGAAGAAAAGGAAGTATTCGTTATTCATTATAACCTTTCATTTCAAGGCCCTAAATCATCCACATCAGTGGACTTAAAGATTTTAATAAACCTAAACCCTTGAAACCAGTAGCTTGGAAATGATGCATAAATCTCTTCATTTTTTAAATTCACCTGTATTTTAATTTTATTTTCATGAGGACTAAATCAAATTGTATTTGTGAAAGTGCTCTGTGCTCAATAAACACCCAATAAACATTCATTCCTAGTATATTTAATACTACACCCCCAAATGTCTTACAAATAAGATTTTTGTAAAATCTGTATCATATCTTATTGTAGCAAAAAACATATAACATGACATCTACCCTCTTAAATTTTTGTGTGCAATACAGTGTTCTTAACTATAAGCACAGTGTCATACAGTAGATCTCTGGAACTTTCCTTTCCAATTGTTTTTCCTTACCTCTTAAGAACTGTGTCTCTAGTTTATTTTCATGAGATAAGTTGGTGAGTATTATTCCCCCATTTGTTGGCAGTGTGTTTAATGTAATTAACCTATAAGTGAGCCAGGTCCAAAAGGGAAGGAATGGGCCAGAGTTTCCAACTCCTATAGGAAGTATGTGTGTGTATTTTTCTCTGTAGACTTTTCCCCACCGACTTGTTTGAGATCTTCATTGACATAGGACATTATGTTCGTGATATCAGTGCTTATGAAGAATTAGTATCAAAGTTGAATTTATTAGTGGTAAGTCTTGAGCTTTAAATATTTTGTCAGGCTGCTATGCAGTTAGGATGCACTTATCATAGCAACCCATTTCCTTTTCATTTTTTGGTTAGGAGGATGAACTGAAGCAAATTGCTGAAAATATTGAAAGCATTAATCAGAATAAAGCTCCTTCGAAATATATAGGCAACTATGCAGTTTTGGATCATCTTGGAAGTGGAGCTTTTGGCTGTGTTTACAAGGTGACCTTGCCCTTGAACAACATTTCCAATGTTCCCAAACAAACTGCATGTCTCCCTGCACACCCACACACAAGTGAATTGGAGCCCTTGTCAGTGAACAAATAGATATAAAAATTAGAATGGTTGTTTCTGTACAACAGATAGCTGCACTGATGTTGTCTTACCTTAGCTCTCAGCTCTAGAAATTGGTCACTGACCTTTGAAGACAAAAGCTGTCACTAATCTCTCATACAAATAGTCAAAATGGTTTGTCCCAATGCATGACACATTCTCCAAGTTCACACCAGTGTTTCTGTATTTACCAAGTAAAATCCTATGAAATATTGCAGACTGATCCAGGATATACCAATTTTTTTGAGGTGAGCTTAGTGTAAATACAAATTTACTTTTTAAAGATATATGACTTATTTAGATGATTTGGCTTAATCATGTGACCTTATTAATCTAATCACTTTCTTCCCCTCTCTACTCCCAAACCATTCTTTTTTTTTTTTTTTTTTTTTGTCTCCTTTATTTTAGGTTAGAAAGCATAGTGGTCAAAATCTTTTAGCAATGAAAGAAGTCAATTTACATAACCCAGCATTTGGAAAGGATAAAAAAGATCGAGACAGCAGTGTAAGGAATATTGTTTCTGAATTAACCATAATTAAAGAGCAGGTAAATGCTTTTGTTTATGAAGACGGTTTCCTTAAATAAATGTCATCAAAAAAAGTAGAATTCATGTGCTGTCCTTGTCCATGCTGTGTAAGAACTGGTTCTATTTAATATAATTGGCATTGAGGTGATATCAATCACCAGGTTTTCTCCTAAGGCTTGACACTGAACCATAGACATAACTATATCAGGGCCAGGGATGCAGAACAATTGAGTTCACAGCACAGAGAGTATTATATATGAGAAAACATATTCGTTTCCTTCTTATTATATTGTAGAATATTTGGTTACTTTGTTACATGCATAAGAATATGACTAAGACTTCCCTGACTTTTGTCAAATGGAACCAAGTTGTTAACGTTCCTCAGATATGGCTTATGTAATCTAAAATGTGAATTTTCAAGATGGGTTATTATTTATTGACATGAGCAAAACGTTCTAACATAATGTTCACAACTCATGTATCATTATGAAGGTTTGTTTCAGGAAAAAGAATAAACGTGTCAGAGAGAAATGGGAATTCTTTTTGTGATCAAAGAACACATTGGTTTTTTTTTCAACTTTCTTTATTTATACATTCATTATGAATACTGTTTGTCTGTAACTCCTGGGGAGACCTATCAGTTCATGGCTCTTTGTTTTCAAATAGTTAAATTTGCATAGCATCTGTGCTAGGACATAACCATAAATATGAAGATCTTTATTCATTGAAATCCCTAGTTCCACTCCAATTTATAATTTACAGTAAATATCATTAATAGGTTGTTTTATAGTTGACTTTTATGTACAAAGAGATTAGATTTTGAAAAGTTAGTGTTTGCTCATATTCCAACACTCTAGCCTTGGGTGGTGTGCTGTTTCATAGCACAAGGCTAGAGCATGGCTTTTGCCCTAGGCTGGTCTAATATCTTCATTTGAACCCAAATCTGGATGTAGTCCTGGCCAGTGAGCTAGGTCTAGAATATGGTTCTATTGCTTACCTAGTTCCATATTGTTTAAAATCTGCTGGCCATTTGCTAGTTGATGAGGTAGACTATTGGTTTTAGTATATTTTCTAAGAAAAGAAAGTGTCAGGGTGGGGCCATATAAGAGACCTCTGCTTGAACTTTGAGGGAGCTCAAAATTGTAGAACTGTGCTTGCACCACGGGCTTAAACCAATGAAAGGACAGTAAATTGAGGTCAAAAAGGAGGAGGTAATGGCAGACAGAAGTGAGAGAAATGGGACTAGAAAGGGAGAGTGTGTTTGTTAATATTAAGATTAAGCTGCAGTAACAAAGAAGCCCCAAAGTGCATGGGCTTGAAGGAGAGTTCTCACCGTGCAATGGGTTTTGTCTTCCTGTGAGTCCAGGGTGTGGTGCTCTGCTCCATGAGGTCACACAGGGATGCCCACTCTTCCTCTCCCATTGCACCTGCCAAGGCACATTTATATCTGCTGGTGCACCCGGCGTTTTGGGTTCAGACACAGGATTCCCCTCACACTCCACTGGGGAGAACTCAGGGATGAGCCCCTTGAGGCTGTGAGAGAGACTGAGAGGTGTGATCTGTGATGGGGAAGTACATCCTGCTACAAGTCGATGGAGTGGAGGAGTGTGAGAGCAGATTTTTGGTGGACAACCAGTAGACTCTCCTTCAAAAGAAGGCAAGAAGAAAGGCCAGAAAGAGATGCAAGCCATTTATGATGTACCAGTGACTATTCTGAGATAAAACAAATTTCAGTTTACTTAGAAACTCAAATTGTAAATAAACAACCACAAAAATTTAGTATTCTTGTAGAAAATTATTATGTTATTATTATGTTATTAGAAGATGTGGCACATATATACAATGGAATATTACTCAGCCATAAAAAGAAATGAAATTGAGCTATTTGTAATGAGGTGGATAGACCTAGAGTCTGTCATACAGAGTGAAGTAAGTCAGAAAGAGAAAGACAAATACCGTATGCTAACACATATATATGGAATTTAAGAAAAAAAAATGTCATGAAGAACCTAGGGGTAAGACAGGAATAAAGACACAGACCTACTAGAGAATGGACTTGAGGATACAGGGAGGGGGAAGGGTAAGCTGTGACAAAGTGAGAGAGTGGCATGGACATATATACACTACCAAACGTAAGGTAGATAGCTAGTGGGAAGCAGCTGCATAGCACAGGGAGATCAGCTTGGTGCTTTGTGGCTGCCTGGAGGGGTGGGATAGGGAGGGTGGGAGGGAGGGAGATGCAAGAGGGAAGAGATATGGGAAAATATGTATATGTATATGTATAACTGATTCACTTTGTTATAAAGCAGAAACTAACACACCATTGTAAAGCAATTATACTCCAATAAAAATGTAAAAAAAAAAAAACACACTACAAAATAACACATTGCTCAAAGAAAAAGTCTCATATAAATTGGAAATTTTTTTGAACTAAATGAAAATACAACTTATAAAAATCTGTGGGCTGCAATGAAAGCACTGTTTAGAAAGATACATATACATATAAATATATATATATATAAAATATTAAATGTATGTATTAAAAGACAGAAATATCTAAACTCCTTATTCTAAGTTTCCGTCTTAAAGAAAAAAGAGCAATTCAAGCCTTAAACAAGCAGAAGAAATAAAAGTAAAACAGAAATTAATGAAATAAAAAACAAGAATTCCATATAAAAAATCAACAATATTAAAAGTTTATTCTTTAAAAGACCAGTAAAGTTGATAAATGTCTAGCCAGACTAATCTTGGAAAAAAAAGAAAGACAGACACAGATTACCAATATCAGAAATGAAAGAGGGGTCATCCTTACTGATCACATGAACATTAAAAGGGTAAAAAAAAAAAAAAATACTGCATAAAACTCTATAGCCACAGATTTGACCATGTAGGAGAAAAGGATCAATTTCTTAAAACACACAAACTACCAGAACTCATACAAGGAGAAATAAGATAATCTGAATAGGAATACATCTATTAAAGAAATTCCATCAAAAAAAAATAGAATTTCCATGTTACATTCTGAGGTAAACTATGCCAAAGAGAAATTGTTGCTCTCTTTGGTGCCTGGACACTTTTTGTTGAGGTATAATTGACATATGACTGCATATTAGTTTCAGGTGTACAACATGATGATTCAGTATTTGTATGTATTGTGACATGATCACCATAGTAAATCCAGTTAACATCTACCACATGTAGTTACACATTTCTTCCTTGTGATAAGAACTTTTAGATGGCAAGGAAGACCTTATTCAGGACCACTGCAATAGAAGTCCAACTATTAGAGTAGAGGAGAGAGATTGAATTCAACTCTGAACACAACAGGGATGGCTGGGGATTTACAACCAAAAGGCAGGGCTAGGGGGGTCAAAGGATGGAAAGTTACTAAGAGGAATTTGGTTAGTTATCAGGTTGGGGGAAGAAAAACTTGATTAGGTAACAAAGATGGGGGGATGAGGAACTTGATTGGATATCCAGAGGGCAGAGATGCTCACTAAACTGGCTTAGCAGGATTCTTGCTGAAATCAGGCAGGCCAAGGAGGAGGCCTGGTCCAGAGGAGGACTCTGAGGAGCCTGACCTAATTTTGTTCAAGGATGGAGTCCTTGGCAATTATTATTGTTATTTTAATGGAGTTAATAACTCCTAGGTTATTTCAGTTTCAAACTAATAATTTTGGAGAGCATAGAAAGACACCAGTCGTGTAAATAGACACAGTGTATATAAACATTTAAGTGGCAGGGGGAGGTTAAGAGCATAGGTATATGTGTTCAAAATTAATTGTTTCATTTCAGTTTTCTCCTTTATGCAGTCTGTGTGTGATGTTGGAACAGGAAGTGTTAAATTAATTCTTAAGATAGCTTCCAGTTCTACAGTCCTCTAATTTAGTTAAATTAGGTGATAAAGCACAATCAGTTTTCAATTCTATTTGGTAAGGCTATATGGGAGATTGCTATTTTCAGAACAGTTTTGTGAGCAGCAAATAAAAAGAATCCTGAAAAATTAGATGATATCTTGAAATGCTTTGTTTTATAAATAAATATAAATATGATGATTTCTTTGTTGTTTTCAAGTATGAAATCCAACTAAATTGTCTGTGAAAACAAGTTTATATTTTGAAGTAGTATAATGTTTGTTATTTATTTTCTTATAGCTTTATCATCCCAATGTTGTACGCTATTACAAAACATTTCTGGAAAGTAAGTGTGAGTTTCCATGATATTTCTAATAATGTATCTATGTTACTTACATATTTTTATTTTAGAATGTTACAAAATAAGCTTAGTCGACTATTTTCTCTACCTTTTTTGTTGTCTGTATGACCTTGGATGGCATTTCTTGATCAGTGAGACACTGATAATCAATGATCAAAAGATACTTATAAAATTCTTAGATCCCTATATGTAAGACTGCATGAACAAACCAAAATAATAATTATTGCTATTTTCATATACAAAAAGCCCATAGTAGGATCAGGAGAAAAGAAAACTAAAGGTTGGTAGCTTCTTTAAGAAAGAATGACATTTTTTTGTCATCTTTTAGAAAAAATGACATTTTCCACCCGCCAAATAAATTGGATCTAGATTTTTTGAGATTTATTTTTCTTCAAGTTCAGGTAATTGCCACAAGGTGGCGATGGAGCCCTGACTGATTCTGCGTCATCATTGGGATGATGGAATATGGAATCAAATCTTGAGGTGAAACCAAACTCAGTCACTTGTTTTAAAAAAAATAGGACATTTGACTGAAGTAATATACATATTAATAGACCTTATATGCTTCACCTGTGAAATTTCAAAATAAATCTCCTTTAAAGGGGCTTCCTTGCTGCCTCTTTATCAGTGCTATTGTTATGTAAACCTGTTGTGTACTTTGCCATGTTATGATTTTACCCATCTCCCTTCCTCTGGTTGACTCAGAGGAACTCAGTGCTGAAACTCCTCAGTACATCCTGCCCCCTTGGCCATTTGTTCTTGATATTAGAATAATTTCCCATAATTTAGTGCATATCCCATCATAAAGAGATCTAGACTAGCTTCTGACTTGTACTGAAGTGACATAACTTGTCTTAATTTAAAAACAAAATAACCTGACTTCTCCCAAAAAGAATTGGCAGTGGCTTAAAAATACATAAGATAGGGCTTCCTTCGTGGCGCAGTGGTTGAGAGTCCGCCTGCCGATGCAGGGGACACGGGTTCGTGCCCCAATCCGGGAAGATCCCACATGCCGCGGAGCGGCTGGGCCCGTGGGCCATGGCCGCTGAGCCTGCGCGTCCGGAGCCTGTGCTCCGCAACGGGAGAGGCCACAACAGTGAGAGGCCCGCATACCGAAAAAAAAAAAAAAAGCATAAGATAAAATAGATTAAGAAATCATGATAAAAGGAAATAAAAGGTGAGAAAATTAATGTTAGGGGCAAGATTAGTACATACAGTAAATATTTCTTGGGATTATGAAGAATTGGAAACAATATAAATGTCAATCTTTAGGAGAATGATTAAATAAATTATGATACATCTGTATTGTGGAATACTATGTAACCAACAGAAAGAATGGCGTGGGTCTGTGTGTACTGACGAACATATAAGAATGTTGAATGAAAAAGGTATAAGTTGCAGAATATGCATGGTGTGGCTTCATTTCTGTAAATGTTGTATATATACATATTTTACATACATCCAAAACATTACAAAAGATACATATCACATACTGTTGTTAATAGTTACATATTGACTTTGGAGGAGAAAGTAGAATTTACTTCTGTTTCTTGGCATCCAAAGCAAAGAGACAAACCCAGTCAGTTATGTGAGGTTCCTGGGATCCATGAGCTGAAATCTGGAGGAGGCCAGCTTTCTCAGCTCTTGAGCTGGCATCACAGAAATTTCCATCATGGGTGGTATATCCAGTGGGGTCATTGCTAAACCACGGTATGATTTCATTGTAAAATACTGTAAGGTAAATCTACGAGACTGAAGAACAGTGCAGTTTAATGTCTGAATGTCTGGCTTGATTTAAAGGTAAATTTTAGACCATTGAAAGGAAAGCTGGGTTTACCTGTTCTTCAGGGAATCCTCCATGATTTGGGATCATTTACTTGCTCTCTTTGGTGCCTCTCAACCCTTCCACATCCTGGTGTACATAGAAAATGATAAAGTTTGCCAGCGTAAACTTATGCTAGGAGGTTGCCTGTAGCTGAAAGAGACTGTTGCTGGGCTCCGATTGTCCCCAAGACCCCCTCGCCCCCAGCCCCTCCAGAGCTGATTGGGTCCATGTCTCTAACTCTTTTGTGTTGTGCCCTGAACACCCATTGGGAAACTTGGATTCTAATTCATAAGTTTTTTCAAAATGTCTATATTGAATTTATTTCTATTACCTTTTCTTGTTTTTTATATAGATGATAGGTTGTATATAGTTATGGAGCTTATAGAAGGGGCCCCTCTTGGAGAACATTTCAGTTCTTTGAAGGAAAAACAACATCATTTTGCTGAAGAGAGACTATGGAAAATATTTATACAGGTATCTTTTATCTTCATTAACTTTTTCTATGAAACAGTAAACTTCTGAGCTGATTTCCTAGAATTGTGTGTAGTGATCATGAGTGGCTGTCTTATCTGTGTATATAGGGGAAATAACATTTGTTTGTTCTTTGCTGTTTGAAGCTGTGCCTAGCTCTTCGGTACTTACACAAGGAGAAGAGGATCATCCATAGAGACCTGACGCCAAACAACATTATGTTGGGGGATAAGGACAGAGTAACAGTTAGTAAGTATAAAAATCTGAAAATTTTCAACTTGAGAGTCTCTGAATATTATTCTAGGGCAGAGTTGTTCGATAGAACTTTCTGCACTGAATGGCGTGTTCTCTGTCTGCACTGTCTGGTATGGCAGCCACTGGCCACATGTGGCTATCAGGCACTTGAAACGTGTCTGATAGCCTATGTGCCTGAGGATATGAATTTTAAATTATATCAAATTTTAGTTAATTTAAATATCCCTATGTGACTAGTGGATACTGTATTGGACAGTGACTAGTGTAGTTCTTGATGACTGAGTTGTATTTTGCCTATATGAGAGAATAAAATACTCTTAGGTTGCTTGGGCATTTAATTCCTAAATCAATGGTTTCTAGGTTTTTTTCCTTTCTGTAGAACACTTCTTCATCAACAAAGCCTTTTAGAACCACCACATGAGCACATTGTTGGACTATTTTAATATAGTCTGTGACATATGGGTAACAAATGTACATATCAAGGGCTGTAAAAAATCCAGCCATTTGTATACTTCAACATTTTCACTTTTTATCACAATATTTTCAACTGTAGCAGGTAAGTTGTCTAATTCTTAATCATAAGTTAAAATGAACTTTTTAGCTTAGAGCGATATATTAGCTTTCTCCTGCCCTCTTCACTCACGAACACTTAAGTTACTCCCATGGACTATTAATGGTTTGCCAACTGTAAGTAGGGAGACATCTCTAAATCAGTGGTCTGCAAATATTTGTGATCATGAAATTCCATTAGTAAATTCTTTTGATAATACACTCCAGTATATCAATATGTATGCTTATTTATGAATTCTGTACACATATCACTGTATAATTATTCTATAGTACATACAGTCAACAGAAATAAACTATAAAGGGGTACATTAAAATTCAAAATAGGGGTGTTGATATTTTTCACCCCACCCCCACCCGCCAGTGGATTGCCTTAGGCACCCAGCTTTGGAGGCCACTGCCCTAAATTTTATTGATGTGAAAGACATTTGACAACATTTTAAAGCTGAGTCTCTTAGTTTTGGAAGAATCTGATTCCTCATGAAGGCAATTCCAAATGTACACATTTACCCATAACCACATGCTCAGTAACAACGATTAGATTCACTGTCCAGATTTTTTAGAGTAGAACATGTTATATCAGTTTAAAAAATAAAAAATATCCTAAAACAGAAGTTTTATTGATAACCTTCAATGCAAAGTTACTTGGAAATATTTCAAGCCAGTGCTTTGTGAAATGTGAGATGAGACCAAATAATTGTGACTCTTCATCTCAGATACACATTTGCTTAATCATTAGAAGTTAATCATAATTTTGTTCATCATAAGCTTTTTACTTTTTATAAATTACACTTGTGTTTCCTTAATACTATTTATATGCTTGTAGATATTTTAATTTATAAGTTAATAAGGATTATTATAAATTGTGTATTTGAATTTCATAGCAAACAGTATATATAATTTTAAATAGTATTAAATAGATTTGTTTAATAGTTTAATAGATCTGTTTAATCCTTCTAAGATGACTATTCAGGTCATATTTTCTGAGTAATAGCCAACCCCACATTCCATTTTCTTACCAAGATTAGCTGCAGTCATTTCCTTTGGTTACATTTAAATACATTGAGATTAATCTTTTATTGTAGTAGCCTGATTTATTTTCTTTCTAAACTTATTTTAAATAATTTTTATATTTATTTTCTTTAACCAGTAGCACACATAAAAATGGTTTACAAAATCAAATAGTGCTAAAAATCTTATAAAGAAAAGCCTACCTCTTTGCAACCCCCAGTTCCATTTCCCTAAAACAATCACTTTTCAGTCTTTTTAGCTCTTTCTTCTGGTATCTGGCTTTCCATTGTGATAGTTGAAGATTCAATTTTCTTATTTTTTCTTTGTCCCCATCTGCCATCCTGCAATACACTTATAGCACAATTTGGGGTTAAATCAGCATTCAGTATTTACATTATTACTACTGTGTAATTATTGTTCAATGTTGATTACCTCTCCTTCCTTATAGACCTTTTGTTTTTTCTAGAGTTAATAATTGCCTTCCTGTTTATTTTCCTAGTTTTCTGTGTACCTTTTATTTCTTCTTCACAAATCTTCTAAAAGGATTATAAAAGCCCTCTCTGTACTATTTCCACATGGTCAAACATGACAGTTACTCTCAGTTTTTTTTTTCCTGGACACCCATTTCCTACACCTCTTTGCTGTAATGTAGACCGGGTTTGACTTTAGGTCTGCTGCACAGCCATTGTCCTGGAACTTTCATGCTCCTTTTTTTTTTTTTAATTTGGCCACACTGTGTGGCTTGTGGAATCTCAGTTCCCTGACCAGGGACTGAACCTGGGCTACCGCAGTGAAAGCACCAAATCCTAACCACTGGACCACCAGGGAATTCCCATGCTCCTTTTCTGATCAGAGTCTCTATTTCCTACATCCTGTCTCTTTCTCTTTCTTTTCTAACTCCCCTATTTTGCCAAAGTGTATCTTCTAGTACTTTCCGAGGAAAAAGTGCTTTGGAAGTTATAATTTTTACTTTAAAAAATTTTCTTATTTAGAAATTTTTGAGGTATAAGTGACATATAACATTATATTATTTTCAGGTGAACAGCATAATGATTTGATATTTGTATACACTGGAGCCTGCAAGCAGTTGGGTGGAGCTGGGTCTTGGTATCTAGATGGAGACCTCCAGGAGAGCTCATGTTAATTAATATTCCCTGGGGCCTGGAATTCTCTGGTGCTCCAGTGTCCTGGACTCCCACCCCAGAGGCTCAGGCCTGACCCATGGCCAGGGAACAAAGACCCCACAGGGCAAGTGGCACAGCAAAAAAAAAAAAAAAAAAAGGAGGGCTTCCCTGGTGGCGCAGTGGTTGAGAGTACGCCTGCTGATGCAGGGGACACGGGTTCGTGCCCCAGTCCGGGAAGATCCCACATGCCGCAGAGCGGCTAGGCCCGTGAGCTATGGCCGCTGAGCTTGCGCGTCCGGAGCCTGTGGTCCGCAACGGGAGAGGCCACAACAGTGAGAGGCCCGCGTACCGCAAAAAAAAAAAAGAAGAAGGAAAAAAAAGGAAAAGAAGACAGACAAACAAAACACAAGACAAATGCTAAAAACAAAGAGGAAAAAAAAGAGAAAACTAAAATCAAGAAAACAAACAAACAAACAAAACAACCCCAAAGTGAAAACGAACAATAAAAACAAAACTAACAAAAACAAAAAGCAAAACAAAAGCAGAAAGCAAACTAAAAAAAAAAGCAAAGAAAATGTAAAACACACAAAAATGATCAAAAATGTTTATATCTAAAAACAAAACAAAAACAAGAAAAAACACAAAATAACAAAAAGTAAAGTAAAAGTAGAAAAATAAAAAATATATTAAAAAATGTTTATAAAGAAAAGAAAAAATAAATAAAAACAATAACAACAACAGAACAAAACAAAAAATAACAGTAATAATAATATTTTCCTGGGGCCTCAGCTGTTAGTGTCCTTGCCCCCACCATGAGCCACAGCCAACCCCACCTCCCCAGGAGGCCTTCCAATACCTCTAGGTAGGTCTCTGGACCCGCTATGGGCACTGTGGGGCCAGCTCAGCCTCTGACTTGGCCCGACTCCTATGTGTACTTGCCCCCAAAGTCCACAGCTGCTAGAGCTAGACTGGTCTCAGTTGTGGGAGCACTCGTTGTCCCTTAGATATTCCATAGACACAGGGTTTACCAAGCTGATCATGGGGATTTAATCCACAGCTTGTGCAGCTGCACAGAGAGATTTCCATTCCTCTTCCTTATTCGCACCGCCCCTGGGGCTCAGCTTTGGTTTTGGCCTCACCTCTGCATGTGGGCTGCCCTCAGGCATCTGTTCCCTGCCCAGGCAAGAGAGAATGAAAGCAGCAGCTGATTGGAGCACACTTGCTCACTCAGGCCAGGGAGGAATAGGGCTGCCACAACTGGAGTGTGTGAGAAGTGCCTCCATGTTTTTTTTGGGGGGGTTATTTGTTTGGTTTTTACCGTCCACATATAAGTGAGATTATGCAGTATGTCTTTGACTTATTTCACTTAGTATAATGCCTTCAGGGTCCATCCATGTTACTGCAAGTGGCAAGATTTCATTCTTTTTTATGGCTGAATCATATATGTAGGTATGTATGTGTATACATGTATATATATGTATGTGTATAATGCATATATACATATGAGTAAATATATGTAGATATAGATACATATATACACATACATTTTCTTTATTCACTCATTTATGATAGCTCTTAGGTTGCTTCCATATCTTGGCTATTTTAAGTAATGCTGCAATTAACTCTTTTCAAATTAATATTTTTGTTTTCTTTGGATAAATACCCAGAAGTGGAATTGCTAGATCTATGATAGTTTTATTGTTAATATTTTTAGGAACCTCCATAGGTTTTCCAAGGTGGTTGCACGAATTTACATTCCTACCAACAGTGCACAAGGGTTCCCTTTCCTTCACATCCTCACCAATGCTTGTTTTTTTTTTTTTTTGCCTTTTTGATGATAGCCATTCTAACAGGTGTGAAGTGATATATCTCATGTGGTTGTGATTCGTATTTCCTTGATGATTAGGAATATTGAACATCTTATCATGTACCTGTTGGCCATCGTATGTCTTCTTTGGGAAAATATCTATTCAGATCTGCCCATTTTTCAATCAGACTGTTTTTGGGATTTTTTTGTTTTTGCTACAGAGTTGTATGAGTTCTTTATATATTTTCAGCATTGACCCTGTATTGGATGTGATTTGCAAATCTTTTCTCCCATTCAGTAGCTTGCCTTTTTATTTTGTTAATGGTTTTCTTTCCTGTGCAGAAGGTTTTTAGTTTGATGAAGTCCCACTTGTGTATTTTTGCTTTAGTTGCTTTGCTTTGGGTGTCAATTCTAAAAATCATTGCCAAGATCAATGTCAAGGAGCCTACGTTTTCTTCTAGGAGTTTTATGGTTTTGGGTCTTAC